TTTCCTGATCTTTATCTCTTTTGATCTATGATTACATTAATATAATTCATTGTGTCTCAGGGTAAGGCAAGCTCCATGGTAGCAGTTGCCCTTGGGCCTAAATCAGGATGGCAGGTTAGTTATTCTTCGAGTATAAATGTATTAGTGATTGTTAAAGATTCTTATGTTAGCTTCTAGTTTGAATAATCTACAAATATTTGACTCTTTTTTCCTTGTTAAGGTTATTGATGCATGTGCAGCCCCTGGAAACAAAACTGTACACCTTGCTGCTCTTATGAAGGGAGAGGRAAAAATTGTTGCTTGTGAACTTAACAAGGATAGAGTTAAACGTTTGGAACACACCACGAAGTTGGCGGGCGCTGCTAGTATCCTTGTTATTGCTTTTGCATCTTGAGTGTGTGTATAGGTAGGTATGCATGTACATATATGTGCACTTCTGTGAATTGTTTATGATATAAATGATAACACGCGTCTAAAGGATTTATCTAAGTATATTTGTCACAATCTTTTCACTAATCATCTATTTACTCTTTCCATGCTTTTTACATGGTCATACATGGACTCCTAATAGCACGCATTCTAGGATGAAGATCTTTTTTATTCTTCAGAAAGTTATTGTTTACGATAACAAGCATGTTTGAGGAGGATGTGGGCTGAGCAGAGGAGGTCCGAGACATTTCTGAGGTCATGAACTCTGATGGGAGTTCATGGAGACATAGGATTAGGGTAGCAGATTGTGGACCTACATGTAGCGAGTGTGGGAGGGGAGATTGGAGAAGTAGACAGTGAGTCGGGGGAAGGGTTGGAGAGCCTTAAGATGGATAGAGGAATGTTCAATTTTCATACTTTTTCTTATATGATTCTATGTTTTTTTTTTTGCACTTGTTTAACCTTTTTTTTATGCTTTATAGTCTTGGTTTGCTTACATCCCATTTCCCAGACCCTACTCTCGAGTGGGACATTTAGGTGTGTTAGGTTTGGTTTTTATGCACGTCTAAAGGATTTAACAAAGTAGATTCTTTCCAGTAATCATAGCATGTATTCTAGGATGAAGATGTAATTCTTCTGGAAGTTATTATTGGTAACTAACTATATGCTTATTCTAGGAGAATTTATGTCAGTCTTCTTGTAATCTCTTTTAACTTGCAGTTGCAGGTATAAGGAAAGTAGGAAGTTCGATTTTTTTTCATTTGTGTAATCTTTCCTCGTTAGTACTAAGCTCGCTCAGTGTTGACCTTTTGGTCTATAGTTGTAAGATTGTGTCCCATTCAGGTGTACTTTATTAATTGGAATTCATTACTCTGCTTTGGTACATCTTACATGATTTATAGATGTGGAAGTTTTACACAAGGATTTCTTGAACTTGAATCCCAAAGATCAATTGTATTCCAAGGTAAGTATAGATTTGGGTTGCATATATCTTACTAAGAAACATTTGAAGTTATCTTTCATGTGAATGGCATCTGTAAAAGAAGTAGGCAGAGCATAGCATAGCAATTAGATTTTTGGTTTGATGCTTCTTAATAAATTGTAAATCTCCTCTCCTCCCCTCCTTTCCTTCCATCCGATATATATATACAATATAATCCCTATAAAGAAGGGAAAAATACCTACCAAAGATAATCCCTATAAAGAAGGGAAAAATACCTACCAAAGATAATCCCTATAAAGAAGGGAAAAATACCTACCAAAGATAAATACCAATTCAAATACAAAACATAGTTATCATCATATCGTCTAATAGCCCCCCTCAGTTGGAGCAGGAGGAGGACGAATGCCCAAACTGGATCTGAAATCCAAGAAAAGTTGTCGTGGTAATCCTTTGGTGAATATGTCTGCGTACTGGTATGTAGAAGGGATATGCAGAACTCGAACGTGGCCAATGGCGACTTTGTCACGCATAAAATGGATATCCATCTCAATGTGTTTAGTGCGCTGATGCTGTACAGGATTACCGGAAAGATACACGGCAGATACGTTGTCGCAATAAACCAATGTAGCTGTTTTGAGAGGAGTTTGTAATTCGAGAAGGAGATTTCGTAGCCAACAAGTTTCGGCTACCACATTAGCAACTCCTCGGTATTCTGCTTCCGCACTAGAACGAGACAGTGTGGGTTGTCGTTTCGCAGACCAAGAGATTAAATTATCGCCTAAAAAGATACAATATCTGGATGTAGAACGGCGAGTGTCGGGGCACCCGCCCCAATCAGCATCTGTGTAAGCAAGGAGCTGAGATGGCCTGGAAGAGTATAGTTGTAACCCAAGTTGGACAGTGCCTTGGAGATAGCGAATGATGCGTTTCAGGGCATTCATATGAGGTTCCCGCGGAGCATGCATAAAAAGGCAAATTTGCTGAACGGCATATGTGATGTCAGGTCGCATAAATGTTAAGTATTGTAGAGCGCCGACCAATTTTCGATATGCCGTAGGATCGRCGACAGGATYCCCAGCTGAAGCGCTGAGTTTGGAGCCTGTATCGGCGGGGGTTGCGACAGGTTTGCAATTTTCCATCTTGGCACGTTTAATGATTTCGGAAGTGTATTTTTGTTGAGATAAAAACATTCCACCTTTGGAGTATGTGACCGAAATCCCCAGAAAGTATGTAAGTTTGCCAAGATCGTTCATATCGAATTCRGATTTGAGAGAAGCAATAATTTCAGCTTTAAGAGTATGTGACGAAGCTGTGAGGACGATGTCGCCAACGTAGACGAGAAGGTAGGCGTACTCATGTTGTCTTCGAAAAATGAAGAGGGAATTGTCGCTTTTGCTACACACAAACCCGATGCTAAGTAAGTATGTCGCGAACCGTTGATACCATGCACGTGGGGCCTGTTTTAATCCATACAAAGATTTGCGAAGCTTGCAAACGTATCCAGGAAAAGAAGGATCCGTGAACCCGGGTGGTTGATGCATGTAAATCGTTTCTTTGAGATGCCCATGTAGAAACGCGTTTTTGACATCAAGTTGGTGAATGGGCCAATTTCGGCTTAGCGCAAGGCTTAAAACCGTGTGGATCGTAGYGGGTTTCACCACAGGACTAAATGTTTCGTCACAATCAATACCCACCGCCTGTGTTTTACCATTAACAACCAATCGAGCCTTGTATCGCTCAAGAGTACCATCAGATTTAAATTTGTGCCGGAAAATCCAATGACAACTAATCACATTAATATCACGTGGACGAGGAACCAAATCCCATGTATTTTGTTTAAGTAAAGCATTAAATTCGTTGGTCATAGCACAGTTCCAATTTTGGTCAAAAAGGGCGGATTTGGTACTAGTGGGAAGAGGAGAGAGGGAGTCGGAATGTAGAGCATATTTGGGATTTGGTTTGCAGATACCTCTTTGGGAGCGAGTGTGCATGGGGTGGATGGTGGTAGGTGGAGGTGGTGGCATTGGTTGAGGTTGGACCGTGGGTAGGGGGTTGACGAGAGGGTTGGTTAGGGGTGGGGATGCGTTGTTAGGGCTAGTGGTGGGTGAAGGTGGAGGTGGGTGAGAGATACGATGGGATGGAGTAGTGGGGTGGTTTAGGGGATTGAGATAAGGAGAGACAGGTAWGTCTTCGAGAAATTCGTAGGAAGAGRAGGGGTAAGCATAACGATGTTGATATGGGTATGTGTTTTCGTCAAAGGTTACGTGGCGGGATATAATGGGTTTGTCGGAGGAGAGAGTGTGGCAAAGATATCCACGATGGTTGGGAGGGTAGCCGAGAAAGACGGAGGGAATGGATCTTGGGGCAAGCTTGTTAGGGGTGGTGGCAGAGATGTTGGGATAACATAAGCAACCGAAAGTGCGTAAGTGAGAGTAAGTGGGTTTGCGAAGATAAAGGATTTCGGTAGGGGTTTTGTTGTGAATGGTGGTAGAGGGGAGGATGTTTGAGGATATAAATGGAAAAAGATAACGCAAGATGCCAAAGGGATGGGAGTAAGGAGGCGTGCATGAGGTTGGTACGGATCGTATTGTTTAAGGTGCGTATTATTCGTTCAGCTTTGCCATTTTGGGGGGAGGTGTAGGGGCATGTAAAACGAAATTGGGTGCCGGTTTTCAGAAAGAAATGTTGGAGGGATAGGTTATTGAATTCCCTCCCATTATCGCATTGGAGAGTTTTAATGGTTCGGTTAAATTGGGTTTGGATTAGAGTGTGAAATTGTTGGTAGATAAAAGGGACTTGACATTTTGTTTGTAAAGGAAAGGTCCAGATAAAGTGTGAGAAATCGTCAAGTAACACAAGATAGTATTTATGACCATTTTTAGATTCGATGGGAGAAGACCATAAGTCGGCATGTATTAAATCAAAGGGAGCAAAAGTAATTGTAGAAGATAATTTAAAAGGTAAACGATAATGTTTCCCAAGAGAACATGCATTACAATGATCTTTGAAATTAAAACTAGAATCGAAAACATTAGAGCTAAGCAACTTAAAAACAGGAAATCCCGGGTGACCAAAACGATTATGCCATGTGGAAGGAGAGACGGCGTGGAGAGCAACGGAAGGGGACTTGGCGGGACTGGGTTGGAAGGAATATAAATCACCGTTGCTGTTGTGTCTCGTAAGGACCTTCTTCGTGAAAAAATCCTTCACAAAAAAACCGAGAGGGTCAAATTCTACCGACACAAGATTGTCTCGAGTAAACTGACGGACAGAAACAAGGTTTTTAATAATTTTGGGAACATGAAAAACATTGTGAAGGGTGTAAGAACGGTTAGGAAAAGAAAGGTTAGCGGGACCTTGACCACGACTTGGAATAACTGTGCCATTGCCAACTAAAATTGAATGTGGTTTATTTAAAGAAAATAAATGAGAAAGATTACCTGCATCGTTTGTGAGATGTGATGTGGAAGCCGTGTCCATGTACCAAGAGTTATCCGGGGGACGAAGGTGCATGGTATGGAAAGCTTGCTCGAGCTGCGTAGGAGTCATGGGTACACCGTGTTCACTAGTATAATGAGCTTGGGAAGCCCCTGGCTGTTGATGGCGAGCCGTCGGTCTTGGAGTGGGGCCAAGAAGACCCATTTGGAATCCTTGAGAAGCTGTCGGGTAAGGACAGGGAGGCACAGACCATGGAGCAGGTTGGTAGCATGGATGGGGCCAAGTGAAGGGATTTGCACTGAAGTTGGTGCGTCCCCGTCCCCTTCCGCGACCACGATAGGAGCCACGACCGCCGCGCTGATATCCTCGGTAACCACCCCGTCCGCCACGTGTGGTGGTGGTGGTGTTGGTGTTGTGGGCGGTGTCGGAGGGAGTAACATCGTTAGGACCAGGATCGGTGGAGTTTTGCGTAACAAGCGCTTGAGCGGCATGGGAGGATTGATTTTTGCGTCGAGTTTCCTCCAATATGAGTTGAGAGCAGGCTTTGTTGAAGCTTGGCAAAGGTTCAGTTTGTTGAATCAGTGTCGCCACGGTATCGTATTCGCCTTTGGTTAAACCTGAAATCAGTTGGAGAACCATTTTTGTTTCAGAGATAGGAGTACCTATATTGGCGAGTTGATCGGCAAGGCTTTTGATATGGGAAGTGTATTCGTTGATGGTGGAGAAAGCCTTTAGACGAGTGGTATTGAATTGTTCTTCGAGGTAGATGGATCGTGTAGCCTTGTTATCTTGAAAGATCTCCTGTAAACGATCCCATAGTTGTTGAGCGGTGCCCCCCGGGTTTTATAATTGTTTGGAGGAGATCGGGAGTGATGGTGGCGAATATCCATTGTTTGACAATGGCGTCAAGGCGAAGCCAGGTAGCATCATCGACATTAGCAGGTCGAGGGGCTTTGGGATTGATATGATCGAGAACGTTGTAGGCACAAACATGGATGTTAAATAGTTCCATCCAGGAGGCATATTGACCATCTGATCGATCGAGGATGAGAGGGATAGAGTTTTTGATGTTATTAACACCAAAAGCAGGGTGAAAGGGAGATTTAGAAGAAGAAGATTCAGGTTGAGTCATGGTGGAAGAAGAAGAGAAGGCGTGCCTGATCAGCGGCAGCAAGCAGGGAAGAAGAAGGCCGAAAAAAACGATTTTGTTTAGGTATGCTCTGATACCATAATAAATTGTAAATCTCCTCTCTTCCCCTCCTTTCATTCCATCCGATATATATATACAATATTAATCCCTATAAAAAAGGGAAAAATACCTACCAAAGATAATCCTTATAAATAAGGGAATAATACCTACCAAAGATAAATATCAATTCAAATACAAAACATAGTTATCATCATATCGTCTAATACTTCTAAATTCTATTTTTACTGCCCAATGACGAGTTGCCTTTCAAAATTCTATCCTATTGCAACTATTAATACAGAACTGAATGAGAGTTCAATTTCTGCTTGCTTTGAGAATATTGAAATGAACGTTGACTTTTTGTTTGGCATAACATCTTTCTAATTGCCTACTTTTAGGTCCGTGCCATACTTTTAGACCCTTCATGTTCTGGATCTGGGACCGCTGCTGATAGATTGGATTATCTACTCCCGTCACATACTTCAGGTGAATTGCTAGCCTTCCGCATCTTAATCACGTATCAATTAAAAAAACATGATGGTCATCTAACATAACAATATACTTGCCGAAAGTTGGAGAAAATGAACCCTGTATTCTTCTTAAGATCAAATGACTGCTTTAAGTAGAGTATTTATGAACTCTGAACATAGAATCTTAGGTCTAAATCTAATTTGTTGCCTAAATTGTGTTTCTTTCTGCGCTCTCTTTTGGGGAAGGTGATGGTGATGACATAAGCCGACTCATCAAACTTGCTGCTTTCCAGGAGAAGGCACTAATTCATGCACTATCTTGTAAGTTGGAATTCGACAAACTCCAAAGTTACAATGTTATGTGCAAATTCTACTGCAAAGTATGGTTTCTCATTTATCGATCTAAAAACGTGGAACCATATCATGACATACCCAGAAAATGATCACTAGATGTGGCTTTCTGATTACCACAAAGCATAAAGATGAAGTCAAAAATGAATTCAATAGTAAAACGGTAAAAATGTTCTTTATGACGTGGTAGCATCAGTTAAAAACTGAAATGGATCATCAAGACTAGTTGCATGAATTTGAAATCTAAGATTTTCATCTGATTATGAAATTATATTATTACGTCTAGAGAAGTTCATTTCTGGTGTGTAATTGTTATATATATATTTTTATTTTAGTTCCAGTAGTGGAGAGAGTGGTCTACAGCACATGTTCTGTTCACCAAATTGAGAATGAAGATGTCATCAAATCAGTCCTACCTCTTGCTGAATCTTATGGTTTTCAACTGGCAACCCCATTTCCAAAATGGCCACGTCGTGGTCTCCCGGTTGTTGAAGGATGTAAGTTTTGTTACACTTCAGTAATACTCTCTCCATCCCAAAACAAGTGTCCACATTTCTATTTTAGTTTGTCCACTTGCGAAAGTGCACTTTCCAATTCTACTATTAATTATGGGATAGAGACGTTCATTACTTCTTCTAGTATTAAGGGTACAATTCTCATTTGGTTAATTAAGAAGTGTAGTACTTGCAAAATTTTAAAAAAGTGTGCCTTTTCATTGTGGATATTTATTTTGGGATAGAGGGAGTAGCCATTTGTTGAATAATGCATGGAGACTTCCTCCGAATGGATATTTTTGTCATTTTTTAAGTTTATCTTTTAAGTTTACATTTCAGACCTCCATACTGAAACTTTCTGATCAATCTATCTTGTACTCTCCTTGATCCACTTGATTTTCCATGTTAAACTGTTACATATGCATGCAAACATCCTTCAAAATGTGATTACGTTCAATCTCCCTTCGTTCCAAAAATAAATGCACATTGCACATTTGAATATCTAAAATATTTCCCAAGAACAGCAGTGTAGAACAAATTCTAGAATCCTGCAAGGAGAATGCAGTGAATGAGGTTGAATCCTGCAAGGAGAATGTAGTGAATGAGGTTGTTTCTGTTTCTAAAAACAATGGGACGAGCTATTCCGATGGTGCAAAGGTGAAATCTACGAATGCAAAATACGGCAGTGCCCATGATGGAGTGTCAGATGAAAAAAAATCAAATGATTCTTCTGTGAACCCTGCCGATAGTGAAATCATAATCGTGAATAAGAGCTATTTTGGCTCATATGGTTCGTTTGGTATCTACAGAGAGATGATAAGTGATAAGGTATCAGTTACTTTTTGAATTATCTGCTCCTTTGTATAACTCGATGAATTGCTTCTAAATTTGTTAGTAAAAATGAGGATTAGCATGTTATGTCATGTTATGTAGGTAAGGACAGATGCTTATAGACAAGCTATTGTAGACAATCCATCTCTTATAAAGGGTGCTGTTGTTTTGGATGTTGGTTGTGGTACAGGGATACTGAGGTGAGATCCTTTTGTTTTTCATACTCGACTCTTTCTTCCATTAGAACTACCATATTGCATTAAAATCAAGTGGATCTAAAAGACAAATTTTGGCTCAAAATCGCCACGGGGGCAATTTGGGGCCCCTAGGGCCATTTCCTCTACATCAGATATAATATTTGATTCCCCTTCCCCCCCAAATCAGATACATATGGGACCCCTCCATACCTTCTAGTTAAAATCGCCCCCAAGAGATGTTTCCATGGTCATTTTCTTAAAAATTTCTGAAAAGTGGTCATTGTTAAGCTACAGTGTATAAAATTGTCATTTTCATCAATTTTCCTATTTTAAAATAATATTACATTATACAATACATTTGCTTAATTTTTTTACTTGAAATTAAAGAAGTAATAAAAAAAACAAAACACCATTGAGTTAACGGAATTTTTTAATGAGAGTTAGCCAGATGGACAAAAAACGTAACAAAGTGATACCCATAATGATTAAAAATATAATTAGTTTAAAATGTAAACAAAACCTGACGACAAGTGACAATCACGGGAAAGAAAAGTATAAATACTCATTTGATTTACAAATATTTTATAAAATGGTCTTTATATTGTCCTATCAAATGCTTTATAATATTCATAATATATATTTTAATCATTCACTACAACAAAACTGACTTTATAGGATGTCTAAATTGTCTGGCGTTTAAATATAATACTCTATAGAACTCAGGTTTATAAGACCAAACTACAAAATGCACTATCTAAAATAGATTTATAGGACATTTTAGCAAGTTTTTTAAAACGCTTTTAAAATGAAGTATCTTACTAACTATTTTATAGTACAATTTTAAAAAGTGTCGTATAAACTCATCTTTTTATATGACACTTGTGTTTATAGGACATTTTTTCAAATAACATTCTATAAAATAGTTAATATAATATTTTATTTTAAAAGCATACTAAAAAACTTGTTAAAACGTCTAAAAACGTCCTATAAACTTATCGTAACACTTTTAGATACGACGGTTTTTGGTTTGGTTCTATAAACTTACGTCCTATAAAGTATTTTTTTTAGAATGTTTTTACATTTTAGGCATACTATAAAATCAATTTTGTTGTAATAACTTATACCAATATGTAACTTTAAAAAGTCTAAAAAAACCCAATGGACTTTAGTGTTTGGAATGATTAAGTCCTTGGACAATTTTTTGGAACAAATAAGTCCTTGGACATTCCAAAACATGTTAAATAACTTCTTGGACAATTTTTTGGAACAAATAAGTCCTTAGACAATTTAAAACATGTTAAATAACTCCTTGGACAATTTTTTGGAACAAATAAGTTCTTGAACAATCCAAAACATGTTAAATAACTTCTTGAACTTTTCTAAAACCTGTTGGATACATTCTTATGACTTGTACAACTAGTTAATGTGGCAAAATAGTGAAAAAAAGTCCGAAAAAAACCCAATGAACATTCATATTTTGAACGATTAAGTCCCTAAACATTTTTTGAACCAAAA